GACTTCGTTTAGCAACAAGTTGAATATTAAAAAATTACCAACACTTGAGAGTAATATTAACATAACATTTATTCTGTCATAAATTCATAGTGAGTCGCAGATTTTCAGTGGGCCATGCTGGTACTTGTTATTTATTTATTTGTTTGTTTGTTCATTTTGTCAGTGGAGTAATAAATTTTTGTTCCATATTGTTTAAAATTCTGTATTGAAAGTAGTCATGGATAATTATAATACTTGCATATTCTGCTTTAATGTTTTTCATGGTAGTGTACCGAATAAATTTGTATAGCGCCCCTACAGGTAGCATTTTATGTTCCTTTTGTTTGCACAAGATTTCTATATTTACCATGTATAACTTACTAGTACTTTTGCTGTGTAGAAAATTGTCCTGTGAAAGAAAAATTATATTATATATCATGTAATATATTTTAGGTAAACATTAATACTATTAAACTGTTTTTTTTTTTTTAATTTACTTATCTATTTTTTTAAAAGGAATGCAAAGCAAGTGAGATTGCTGTATACATTTTTTGCAAAATTTATCTTTTCTAGAAATATTTGCTCAGATTAAAATATATGGTGTTTTTTGTATTTCACATATTTTATCTTTTTTTGTATTTACATACATCTTAATCCCTATTATTTGTCAACGGGGGGTGGGGGGTCCGGACCCCAAGAACCCCCTAGATCCACCACTGTGATTACTGTGAATTTCATGGAGGCATACATTTGTTTATATAGAATTTCAAATGTCGGTTGAAAACAACAAGACTTATCACAGCATGTTTGGGGTTGCATGGCAGTAAATAGAACAATGACTTAAGGAGCCCTGCAAAGACTTATAGGTAATGGGCATTACCAAATAGCCTATATAGCTATTAAATGAACAAATTTTGGATTTGAATGAAGTGTTAGGATCTTCTTAAGTAAATGTTTTATAAATATTTCATGAATTTCCATCAAGCTGATCTTGTCTTTATAAAATTCACAGTAGCAACACTTTAAAAAACTACCAACTAGTAAATAAAAGAAATTTAAATTATTATATCATAAATAATATTTAAAAAAACCCTCATGATCTCATTGTAGAAACACTGTAAAAGGACTGCCATAGCATTTGAGCAAGTTGTGCTAATTGGAATTAATAGCAAATTCATAATTTCACAACAATCTCATTCAGACTAAATGTAAAGAATAGATCTATCCAAAAATATAGGGTAACTAAATTCGCTAAAATAGCAACCAGAAAATAAAACATTTGTAGGAGAAGTTCACTATATTTTTCTGATGAACATCATAAGGAAGCCAGCTAACACCCTATTTTAAAAATATATTAACCAAACAGAAAATTTAGATAATGAAAAATCTACCAAGATTTTAAAACATCTGAAGAATATTGTCTGTGTTCTTGTTTTCTTCACTTTGTCAATGTCAAGTGGTTGCCAGGGACTGTTGCGCAAAACGGTTTGCGGTTTTTATGAAGTTGCGCATCCACCTCATTACAATAATCATTGTGTACCATTACGCCTGGGGATTATTTTAGTTCAGAAAAAGGTTCATTAGCTGATCTGAACAGACTTTCTGTGTGAGATATTGATACAGAAGTACTGTAAACAAATTTACAAGTAAATTCAGACTTCTCATTACCATTTCGTCTGTTTTATTTAATGTACTCTTGCAAGGTGTAATGTTTCGCTATGTGATACTGCACGTTGGCCGATGTGTGACGTCACACAGCACGTTGACGGAATAATAATAACAGTAGCGTGAACTGAACTCTTCTGCCTGACGATAAGATAGCTTCAAAAAATTACCCACTATACAGGTTTTTCAACGCGATATTATTAACCAGCTGGTAGACATCGCGGGTGGAGCATTCCAATTTTAATTTTATTGTATATTTCATACCTTTTATTCTCCAGTGTTTTCTTTCTGGATGCGTGATGAATTTTGAAATACCGCCCGGCCTTACGGATTTACTCCAGGAGTTTACCGTTACGGTTCTCCGGGAGAAGCCCGCCGATCTCGTCGAGTTCGCTGCCCAATATTTTACAAAGCTGAATGAAAGCAACAGCAAAACGGCGGGACGACGAGGTGTGAAGTTTTCGGAGCCGTCCGACCCGGACGAGCCCATGCAGACAGATTCCGATGATGAATTACCGCCAGGTGAGTTGTTCATCTTGTACCTCCCATCGTTATCTCTCGCCCATATTGAATCATGTTTGTCATCAGGTGTCCGTGCCCGTTATATTCATGTGCTTTTGACTTTATTATATTATTGAGTCACGTAAAAAAATCTTTCATTCTGTATACTGTTTGGTATAACAAAAATTTCCAAACACGTATATTCCACGTTCGATAGCGCGTGGCGGACATGAAGACTGTTGACTGTAGTCGGCTAACGTTTCACTCAAGTGTTTAACATGTCTGACACTTTCGTTCGTTTCAGAGGTAGGTCATGTCAAATCCCGTCGATTATTTGTGTTGCACACATTGCCTCTATACGGTATTGTTGTTAATGAATTCGTTATGAGGAAGCTCGGGTATATCATTCATACACGATAATGTTTCAAGCCGTCAACTTTCCGGTCAAAGTTCTAATGTTACGGGTGGCGTGCATTTGGGCAAACTTGTCCTTTGAACTCGAGTCTTCGTCGTCGATTGGTAGCTCAAAATCTCGATAATTATTTGCATAACCACCAAACCTATTCATAGGACAATCTTCTATAATGGATTATAATAATAATTCTTAATCTATATATTCGGTGTATATACAAGTAGTTGATGTATGTGCTATTTTAATGTCTAGACTAATCAAACTCGTTTGGTGAAATTAATTCGTTCAAAATTGTTTGTTTTTTCTAGTTTAATGCCTGTCAAGTAAATTGCAGTAGTATTCTATAAATTTGATGTTGTTGTAGTTGGCAATACAATTTTTCATTAATATTTGTATGGGTTTTCTTTTTTTCTGTTCTGTATATGACCATTTAAAAGTGTAAAAAAAAGTGTGTGAGTACAATTACAAATGATATGTTTGATTCTCTGACTGTGATGAGGTCATATAGTTCTTTCCTGCCTTTTAATTTCAATAGAAAATCATGGCTGAAATATTAAACACAAATTTGTTATAACCATGCCAGACTAACCATGGCATACAGTCGCTTGTTTTTTTGTTTTTTTTGGTGTTTTTTCAATAAAATATAGTATTATGTGAGTGTATAAATGGTTACTGTGAAACAAACAAGAGACTTGTGTCCATTGTAGACTCCCTCTTGCGACACTGGTAATGATTGTCTTGATAGTTTAGTGGAAACCACACCAAAACTGCAATTTCGCATGCTTGCATTTCATATTCTTATGATGGCATAGCAAGACGTTCAAGGTGCACTCAAGATATTAGTATATTGCCTTGAGAATACCAATGAGAGGTTGTATACTTCTGGTTGCGATGCTTGTACTAGTATTTTGTGAGTCAAATCACTAACTGCCAACTCAATTTCAATGACAAGCAAGCTTCTTCTGGCCAGCTTTGAACAGTTTTCCGCGGTTATCCATTTTTTCTGTATTTGATCCACATACATTGCAAATGCATTGCTTGTGTGCTTGGCAATATGACAGTTGTGATGCTTGTTTTTGTCAATGCACCAGCAATCGTGTGATGCTTGTTTTTGTCAATGCACCAGCAATCGCTTGCTCGCCATTCACGTCCATCTTGAAAGAATGTATGCCCGCTTCACCCATCAAATATGATATGTGATATATTGCTCCAATTTGTGACGTCATTGAAATTCCCATTAATTAATATTAACAGCAAGGGACCCCCCTCACAAGGAACACAAGTCTGTTGTTTTTTAGGGGGTAACCTGGCTTTTGCCATTTATACACTCACATATTTTATTTTATTGAAAGTATATCAAAATCAAAAAAGAGACTGTATGCATGTCTAAGCAGTGGCATGTGACTTTCGACCAATATTGCATCATGTTAGCAGCTTGCTAGTTCGTTATCAATGTAGCTTTCAGACAAAAGATTGGCACTTGTTTTTAAAATTGCAATAGAACACTGCTACATGGTTTCTTCCCATCATTTTATTTCTATATGTCAAAACACATGCATATGCAGATAACTTTTGTTCCCTGTGCATGGTAAGCATTCTGCCATTCATGGCTATAGCTACTTACCTTTTCACCATGATGAGTAACCAAAATCTTGCGTAAAGTTGTCCACGCCCCAAAGCTATCTGTTTAAGCAAACAATCATACTATACAATGGGATAAACCAAACACATTTTATTGCGAAGTTTTATAATCAAAATGGATAACAAGAGAACAAAGACACAATAATTTCACTGTATTTAGCTGGTCCTGGGAACTGGCTGCTATATATCAGATATAGTTCATAGCAAAATAGCCTGGCTATTTTCCCATGCCTATTTCATGGATCCCTTTACCCCTCCTCCATACAGAGAGCCCGGAAGAACCCACAAAATAATGAGAAAGTAACCAGGCTTATACATGTATATTGCAAAGTCTATTGTCTGATATAAATAAATAATAAGAAAGATTGGTATATATAATTACACATTACCTATGCTCTAGTTCATCATGTTTGTACACACCTCATTGCACCAAACTTAATGTACTAGATGGTAATCTGAAAGCAACATTGCTAGCAAAATCGCTTGCTACCGCTCTGCATTGGTGTTAAAACCCTAACCCTAATGTGCAGCGATAGTAAAAATGAAGGCCACTGAGGTGAGAATGGCCCAGTACATTTTAGTCAATGACTATGACACAGACAGACATCACTTATTGTTACAATCAATCAGTAGACATTGGATAATTGATGACCAAAATGCAGTGAGCAAAAAGTTGCAAGTCAGCAAAATTTTATTCTCTAAATCAGATAACGATGAGCAAAATTTCCCTTAGAAACCAGATTAAGATTTACCATTTGAAATGAAAGGTATTTTTTCTTGTGGATTGACATAGTCTGTCTGTCCATGTGTGTGTATGTATGCTTCCGTCTGTATCTAGCAGTTTCTCACACGCTAGGAATGATCAAGTTCTAACTTTAGATATCATATTGGACATGTGCACATTCATTTGTTTCATTATCCAATTCAAGATGACCGAATAGCTGCCATTGTAAGGCCATAATCAGCCCTCAGAAGAACTTTTTGCACATTCCTGCTTATGTCAAATTCTCATCCAATTACATCCAAATTTGGTTCCCAGACAATCATGCTGTAACACATCAAGAAAAGTTGATTATGTCACAATCCAATTCAAGATGGTCACCTGGTAGCCATTTTGTTTGATAAAAAACTATAACTTCATTTTTTTTTGCCCATTTCTGTGTATATCTCAAATTTAAGCTGTCTAATTAAGTCAAAACTTGATTCAAAGATGATTTTGTTCTAGCATTTCAAAAACAGTTGATTTAGGTTGCATTACAATTCATATCACAATTCCAAAACATGTATTGTGGGATGACAATCATAAAGTGTGTCAGCTCCAGCAATCTTGACATAACTATCCCAAAATGCACTATATTGGAGTTGCAATACATGTTTTACATTTTCCCAATATAGACATTATTGATTCACATGTTATATTGTATGGCAGTCCCAAATTATTAGTTCAGTGTAGAACTGGTACATTGACTTGATCAAAAAGGAACATATAAATGCTGACATTTCATTTGTCATGTATTAATGTACACAAACAGGAGGCTGTGACAACTGCAATGGCTTGTATTTTTCAAAGAATGCAGTTCGATCCTGGTCTGACATGCCAGGATTGATCAAGTTGAAACTTCACACATACAATAGATATCATCATATCGAACATGGATTTGTTTCATGATCTGATTTTAGATGGTGAATTGACAACAATCTTAGGGCCCAAAATGCATTAAAATCACACATTTCAAACATTCTGGAACCCAATCTCAGAGATGCATGGACGTATTCTGAAAGAGATACATATTTACACATCTTCTAAATTAGATAATATTTTGGTTATTCACTATTAATACTTATGATATTTTTTGAATGCACAGCGTCAGAAAGTATAACAATATTGCTTCTTCTTTTTGTACTTTTATTGTTTATAATAAAGGTGCTGACATGATGATGATTTACTGATACTATGCTGGATGGTGTCACAAACAATACTTAAATTGCCATGGAGACTTTTTCTTGTTAGGCCAATGTTCGAAAATAGTCAACAATAAAATAGAATTGAATACTTTTATTTCAACCAATTTCAAAGAGCAATAAGATGTTTACTTTTATCAGTCCTCGCATTTCCAATCAAGTATAGGCGATTGTCCCTGAATGAGGAACATTGTTCTCTCCATCAAATTCACCTCTGTAGAAACACCTAGGTGCATATATTCATGCATGTTTGAACCAAGACACTGTGCAAGTGTCCAATCAGTACATGTCACTTAGCCCAAAGAATATACTTGATGTACACAGCTATCTTAAGACTGGGGAACCTGAGTTCCATTTTAATCAGTTCTTAATTGACCTTCATAGTTTGTCCCGATTGCTTGTCCTACAGCCTCATCAGCATAACACATACAGACGTATTGTGAAATATTTTTTTTAGTAATCTTAAATGTATCAGATTATGCATTTCATTTGTGGTTGAAAAGCAATGAATTGAATGAAAATCTAATCTACTATTAACTTAGAAGATATAGTTTAATTTCCCTTTGACATAGTCAAAATGAGCTGTTTAAGACTTGTTTTATAATGTTTATTAATTGGGCGTTGTTTGAATGTGGTGTTTTAGGATTTGAATGTTTCAACACTTGTTTGTGTGTGTGGAATTTTGATAGGCAAATTATATGTTCATCATTTCTAAGTATTAAATACAGTTCAAAACAGTACTGGACTGCGTTTGCGCCCAGGGTCCTCAACTCAGAAAATCATGATTTTTTAGGGGTGGGCGCTTACTCGAGCACCCCCCCTCAAAAAGAGTGCAAATGAAAATTTTGATTCATCATGTGACAGACTGAGGGGGATATTACGTCTTTTAGGGAAAATTAAATTACGTAATTAGTTGCGTCGTCATTGATTTTTGCAATGAAGAAACAGAAATGATCACAAAAAATATGCACATTTTATTACAATATTAATTACTTACCACCAGAATTTTCAAATTTGTTGGAACACAGTCGAAGTCAAAATTTTTATTATCTCCACTGACGAATGTGTTGGATTGTACGCAAACTCTCGATGAAAATTACTTTCTGCCATGATGCATTTGCATAATTTGACCTGCAACAGCGTTCTTTGACCTAATGGGTCAAGCTGGTTATTAACCAATGAGAATGCTGTGTTGTACCAACGCAATTCTTCGGAAATTCCCGAAGACTTTCTGGTAACACAATGCGGAAGTGAATTATCAATGTTCAATTATCAATTACGGTCTGTTGGAATTGATTTCAGCAAATAAAGACATGGTTTTTCTAAAAAACTGAATATGGCATGAAATATTTTACCGCATTTTACTTGTATTAACAGGTCATTGTCAAAGCATAGCATACACACAGTTACCGTGGTCTACGCATTCACAGCAGTCGATATCCACGCTGTATCATATAAAAACAATTGCCAAGATTCGTTACGCCATTATCAAAGACCAAGTTTTAAATTAGTTGCATTTTGAAGGGGTGGGCGCTTTGCCGAATGTGACTTGAAATATAAAAATTGTGCAAAAGTGAGGGTGGCCGCTAACGTGGTCAAGTATTGTATTTGTATTTTTTGACTATAGATAATTTACATATAATTGCATAATTTAGCATCAGATAAAATTTCTATCTATATCTAGATATCAATTTACCTATAAAAGAGATGTTCTGGTTAAACTATTCATTGTGAACAATCCAAGCATCATGGCCACTTTTATGCACCATCCCAAAATGCATGTAGCTAATGTGATTGAATTAGTGTTGCATGCATGTGGATGTATACTGTCTGATTATTGAACTTGTCAGCATTCTGTGTTTTCCTTCACCAGATTTTTTTGCTCTTGAAATAATTTATAGACCAGATTCAAAATGGCTACTGGTTGTCGTTTTTTTTTTAATGAATGCTGTTTTAGCCAGAGTCATGACGCTGACATGCCTGAACTAATCACATTCAAACTTTACATATACTCCCTACATTAGTTATGTCACACCCATGCTATTGCATTCTTTTCACAATCAAACTCAAAATGGTCGACTGGTGGCCATTTTGTTTCAGACTTATATGTAAGACAGGCCTTGAATGATTGCCTTCAAATTTTAAACATTATGCCACACTTGTTTTAAATTCTGATTCAAAATGGCTGACTCGTTTTGTTGGCTCCATCATGCAGTGCACAAAAGGTAGGCCAATGTCATACTGATGGCTGACTATATGGGTAGATTGCATTATCGATAATTTATAGACTGAGTGGCATGGCATAATCAGTTAGGATCTGACACGAATAACTCTATGGCAATATTGGATTGGGTTTATGGCCTAAAATTACTTCATTTGTGAAAGCCATTAAACAATTATATATGATAATGTTCAGCATCAGTGAGTATTAACTAAAAATTAGAAAATATGATATGCTTATCTATATTATATAGTTTGTAGTGGTTACTCTTAAATATAACATATCTGTGTGTGTTGTATAAGTCACTTTCATTCCATTTTCATGTAAATTGACAGTTCTGGTATATACCCTTGTCTTATGTTATTTGTACTTGTACGCACCATTCAGTAATATATTTAGTTTTGTCTGTCTGTTTGTGAAAAATTACAAGATTACATGCAAGCAAATCCATAAAAAAAAATAGTTTTGCTATTATACATTTGTTACAACTTTATCATTTGCTTCAGGCACTCCTGATTTAATGTTAAATTAAATTAGTGATATTGAATAAAGATATTATAAATTTGTAAAATCGAAATCAATAAATTGTCTACCATTCCTGTCTTGTGTATAGCAAACCAACAATGTTGATGAGTCAGAATAGCTAATGAATTCATCTTGCTTTTAGGCCAACCACTGTGACAGTATCTAATGTCATATTTGATCTTGTAAATCCACGATTGAAAAACTACCCACTGTAAGATATCATACAAGTCAGTCAGTGGAAAATTCAATGTAATTGTTGGCTGTTCATAATTATTTGCAAATCCCTTGTCTGCACCAGATGTTCTTTCAAATAGATATCTAAATCTGTCCCTTTTATCACATATTCAGTATAAATGTATTTGTATAATTTATGCTATTTAAGGTCAAATTTTCTAACAGTCTCAACGTACACCTACCGATTCTTGTTCGTACATCAGAGAATTGTGCCCACGCAGTTAAATTAATGATAGAATTGCATTATGTGCCGAAAAAGACTGCCTGCAGTAAATATTACATGACTATATAAATGTGCGTTATTGTTTCAGACTATAGGTCTTCATGCAGTTCAGATATTTAATTTGAATAATAATCAGTGTTAGTCGAATACAAGCCTTTTGCTTTATTTTTCAGTGAATTTAAGTGAAGCGTATATCTCAGCAAAAATTATGAGCTCAAATGTCTTGATTCGTACAGAATGGTAGAATATAGTTATAAACTAAAAATTATACTTTATATATTTATGCTGGTCATAGATTTGATTCAGTAAACTGCCAAAAAAAAAGATAATTGTAAAAGTAAAAAAAAATTCTGTGTCACTATGTTGTCAGGAAAACAATAAGGGTTAGAAGGTCATGCACTCAATGGTGGTGATCAGTTGGAGGGGGGAGTTACTCAATCTGCATTGTTGTTATGGATATAGTGAGACTGACCATTTACATAGTAGTCAAAGTGACCCAAGGTCTGTGAGACACGCTTCAGCAGCTCAAGTCTTCCACAATGGGGTTCCGTGTGTCTTCACTTTCTCACTCAAACTCTTATTTTTACCCTCCAGATCTTCCAAAGAATAGATTTAACAGGAGAAAATCAGGTAGGTACTCTTCTTTATGGCCCGAGTGTTTCTATTCTGTTGTTTGAACTTTTAAGGAACTAATTAAAAAAAGCTACGACATGTTGGCATGTGGATAGTATTAACTTGAAGGTCTGTAGTACGAATGGCGGTCTAGTGCAATGATCTCTGTATCCTTCCTGTTACAACTTGCATGTCATTTTCATTCAATTTCTGGTCCTGACATTAATGTGTGTTGGAAGACCTGTTATGTATTGTACATGACACATGTCTCAGTCTCAAGTAGCATTTCATGGCCACGATCATGCACAGTAGCTATTAACAAATGGGTGAAATTGCACATTCTTCTCTGTTCACACACCATGTGTTTTTGTATAGAGATTGCAGGCAAACTTTAGATTTTCTCTGTCTCCCCCTTCCTTCAAAGCTTTACTCTGCACACAAAAAATACCATAGATTAAGTGACATGAAAACAGCACTTGATTGCACGTATATTGTAATATTGATTGGTTGCCCTTGGAAGCATTTTAAAAACATTGATCATGGTGCCTTTCATCTCATTATATAGAATTGTTTATTTAATTTTGAAAAAAAACGCTCGATCTAAAAAAATATTTAAATATTCTGTAATTTCTAAGAAAAAAAATCATGTAAATTCATATACATTGGTAGATCCAGATATGCTTTCAGTAATTTTAATATTTTACCTACATGTCTTTTTTATACCAAAATGAAAATCAAATGATTGTAAACCTATTTCCAGACAATGAACAAATGAATAAGGTATATTTGTGTAGTCATGTGCCATTGTTGTTTAGTTGGTTGGCTCTTAACAACATATAAGCTGAAATTCAGAATTCTACACAGAGCGGTAAATATGTTAAAACTATAGACTACTGTATTTGTTTATCTCAGAATTTATCTTCACTGAACAAATAAATCAGTGAAAATAAAATGTACAGTTAAAATGCAAATCAGTGAACCTAAATTACTACAAAAATTGTACCTGGGTTCAGCAAAAAATTAAGTCCAGCTAAATATTTATTTTCGTTTAATTGAAATGTAATAGTATTGCGTGATTGAATCTGTGACACAATATGGGCATGCTATAACAACTATCAGACTCATATTGCAAAATTATGACATCTTTCACCAGTTGTTCAAATAACCAAAATTTAAGTGCCAGTCATATGTGGTTGTCATTAACATTTGTTGTTATCTTTTGAAATGATAAAAAAATCTGAATAATTCATTCATTATTTAAAAAACAAAATTAATTATACTATTGTCAAGCATATAGCAGGTCAGTCCTTTAACAGTGCTGGTCAAGGATATAGTCATTAACACCTGCATTTAGGATGCCAAATTGGTTGTTAAAGTCTACTGAACAATACTGAACTTGCACAGACAAAATATTAATTGAACATTCTCAGCTTGTAAAAGCTGGGTGCAATGATTTATCAAAATACAAAAGAATTGATTTGAAGGAAACGATTATATAGTGCTGTTTGAAAATAAAGGTTGTTTTTCTGAAATGTGTTTTTCATTGAAATGTAGATTCTCGTCTACAAATCAACACCAGTAGTTTGTGGAAGTCTATCAGTTGTCACATGATCCCAGGTTGTCTGTTAAGTGTCAACTAATTTAGAACATTTCCACTGCATTACACTTTGTCAGTAGAATTAAATTAATAGTTTTTAATATGTTTTGTTTTATAGTATGTGCTGAAAGATATGATCCAGAAGCTGATGATGATGAATCAGATGAGAAGGTAACATTTATTCAGATATAATCATGCACAAATGCTTTTAAAACTTAAAATATCGAGTGATTTAATTATCTGAGTGAAATTTTGCCTATATTGCACATGCATACACCTTATGTGAAATGTTAAAGAGAAAAGATGAATTAATAATTCATAAAAATGATTTTCTAAAATGATTTTAATGGTTTAAAACAATGATAGCTGACACATCATGTGGCAGAACTGAGCCTATGAGCTACATTGTACATTTTCACAAACAATTGGATTGGTAAATGCGTACAGTGATTTTGGATTATTAACACCAATTCTTCTATGCTTGAAAATAAGGCATGTCATCTTTCAAACAAAACAACAGTCTCAAATAAGCGTGGCTGGTCTTTTCCAACTAGTCACCAATGGTGAATTATTTAAAATTTGCCTGCAACAAATTATGTCACTTTGTCACCATTGGCTGAGATGAATCACAAATCATAAATTATTCTGTGAAAAGGGTCATTGTTGAAACAAACATTATCTTAACTCACAGACACTAAATTAAAATTTAATCTAAATTCAATATGCTTTATGAATCTACAAAAGATGGTTATATTTCATTGACTCGTTTCATGTTTCACGAAAGTGCAAGGGGTACATCTTGTTAATTTGAAATCTGTTGTCCCCAATGTGATTTTGGAAACCCTAATGTAATTCTACGTTTTGACTACTGTGCCAATTTGCAATATATAATATATATACCTGTAGTATACCGGTAGTATTATCCTACAGTACGGTTTGGAAGATGCAGTTATGGGGCTACTCATCCTTCCTGCCAATTTAGAAATATTGCTCTGTCATAACTATGTGATATCTTATTAAGTATAACGGCTTTCTTTAATGTTTTATAAACACTAAAAAAACATTAAAATCACAAACCTTTAAATATGAAGTCTCATAATTTACCCCTTCTGATTATTTGCTCAAATTGCCACCTTCCTTCTTAAATAAAACACAGGGCTTATATTATCTTTTGGCAGTGTAATTGCAAAGTGAATTTATTCATTCCTACCACAACATTTATTAAATTCTGTATTCTCACTCAAATGATTATCTAATAATTTAAATGGAAAATTTCAATTTATAATGTCAGCTTATGCATTAAATTAACCAGACTAATAGTAAATTTGAGTAATACTTACTAATAGCTAAAACACTCTCTGAGTAGGTCAGTGCAACCTGTACTTAAAAGTGTAATTTTTTGCATGTTTTCTCAGACAACATTTTCTGACAGACAAGTACTTTGCTTTGATTGTTAAGGGACAAATGCTCCATTATCGGGATTACGATTTAATTTTAATTATACAGGTCTATGAACAGCTTTTTCAAAGTGGTAGCTTTGCTGTTACCGCCTCCTCTGAATGTTTTCATTTCTCATTGCTATATTGCCAATTTTTGTCAAATAAAGTGCATATCAAATTACAGTTATCGATCAGTAATAATGAAATGGCATGAAAATTTGCAAATGTTTAACAACCTTTTTACCAGTTTGTTATAGTGATTCTAGAATTGAGAAAAATGTATTCATTTTGTTTAAAATATTCAACATTTTTCTTGCATTGATTTAAAAGTTCATGTTTATTTTTTTTTTGAAGGCTATTTGATAGCCATACACTGTTATTATTCCTGTATACGAGTATACATGTAATTAATTCTCCTCTGTGATATGAACTTGACATTTTCACCCCACTGCTGGATATCCAGTAGAAATAAATGAATACAAAATAAGTTATTTTCACTAAGTTATCAATCACAATTGTATGATTATATTATGGAGTGAAGATAATCAAAATGTGTATTTGCAATTTATAATTTGTGAATATCAAATTTACATTATGGCTTTTTATTATCTCCGCTGTTGACTTTGTCGAGCGGAGCTTATCATATGAGTGATTGTCCGCCGTCGTCCGTGTCAATGTTTTACTTTTTCGCCTTCTTCTTGAAAACTACAAGCCTGAATGCTTTGATACTTGGTGTATATGTACCTTGGGTAGACCTCTCTTAGGTTTGTTCATTTCATGTTGATATCTTCAATTCTCTAATTTTAGTGAATATTTTTGTCATTTTTGGTAAAAGTGATATTTTCGACTTCTTGTTAAAAAGTGCAATTGCTTTGATATTACATATATAGGTACTACATGTGGACCTCTCTCAGATTTGTTCATTTTTGGTAGAAAGTGATATTTTCGACTTCTTGTTAAAAACTGCAAGTCCGATTGCTTTGATACTATACATATTGTTCATTTTCTAATGATGTCTTCAGTAATTGAAATGTGCATTGCTAACAGCGGAGCTATCTCAATCAGCCGATAGGCTGCTTGTTGAAATTAAACTGACCTCTTACTTATGTGTACTTAAAGTATGGATAGAATAATAATAATACAGCCAACTGAGATTTGTGTGTTTGCTATAGTAACAGTGCTCGAAGCTTTTTGCTTATTAATATGACTGCGCATACGCTCACTTACATACATACATGTGTATATGCAACCCAATCCAAACCACTGTGTCAGGTAGCATTTGGCCATTTCTATCCTAGCAACAGCCTTCAAGATTACAATAAGTGACACTGTTGAATTAAAGGTTTCCTAGTCTACTGTGAGAAATTGGTGCTGACATTTATCACCACTGAATTGAAAAGGAACAAAGCTTTGCAATATTTATAAGACTGACACCCATCACCAACTGATGGTTTATATTGCTTTTTTAATTGTCAGTAGTAAATTATTTGCCCACAGCCATGCAATTGCTGTGTCTGAAATGTTATTGTCACCAAAGCAATAAAAATTGAAATCCAAACAAAGGATAAAGTATATAGTGATATAGGGTAAGGAACTGTTAACTAACACAGTCAGATAAAACAAGAACAGCCACTGTATATGCATCATGGGTCATTGTTCAAGGACCTTCTACCCCTCACCAATGCAAATTAGTCAAATTACATTCTTTATTATGATTGTTTTTCTCAGGGATAATTATACAAACATTGTTTACTGCTCTTATGAACAAAATATACTTGAGTAATAATTTGTTGTCTTGATAAAGGATTGGTATCTATGTATATCTACAGCTAGATTATGGATTTTGTATGCATATTGTATAAGCCATTGTGATGTCATCTGGGAGAGTACTACTGCTTATAGCATTCATATAGATTGGTGACCTAAATTATCAATTCACTAACTATTCTGAAGCTTCAATTGCCAAAAGTCACAAATGGCTGTTGACATTTTTTTTCCTCACTTTAAACATATAATCGACATGATATTGCTTTCAACCATGAAAAGATTATTGATTCACCATGACCACATATAAATATGTAGACATAATGTTAATGCTGAGGTATATGTGCTCTGTTAATTATAATATGTATAATGTATATATAGCTCTAAAAAAATCCATATCACCATTGTGATGTACGTCACATAAAAACAAATTTTTCTCTTTGTACGTACACTCTGCTAAAGGTTGTCTGGAGCTTACAGCTTTCTGTATTTTCCAATAACAACGTAATATTATAGCTATACTCCATATGACAAGCTCATTTGTTTACTCAAATTGCAAATTGCAGCAGATATTTAGTGTTTACATGCAATATAGAACATATGAACTAAATTTGCAAACACAGTGATATTTTATTCATCAGTATTTTACATTCAACATCTAGTCTGTCTTACACTCTTTAGAAATATATGCTAGTTCTCAGTTTGACATGAGCAGACACAAGTGATTATTGTATTTGCTATAAACCTACAGATTTTTACAATCACTCATTTCAATTTAAGCAAAAGTATCCCTAGATCATGTGTGTATGTACTACTTTACCAAGCAGGTACACATATCCCAACACCTCTGCTGTTTATTAGTTACAATAATTATATTGTCATATATTTAATTGTTGGCTAAAACCTGCATAGGCAAAAAATATGGTATAACTAACTGTATGGATAAAATACCCTCATATATTTTACTCTGTGGTTGGCAACATTAATTTTCTTTATGTATATTGTGGTGCAGTGTAGCTTGCATTCAGTTTGTATTCATTACCAATCTTTGCAAAGTCATTATATCTTACTTGACAAATCTGCTAGTAAAATTAGGATAATATTAATCTGCATTTTCATTGAAGCAAATTGTCAAAAGTTGTTTATAGATGCTGTTTAATAATTGGGTAGAGAAATGAATCTCTCTCCTGGGTAAAAATGCCAAAATTACATTTGGTGGCATTGGGCATATGCAATTTATTTTACTTGTTCAATTTGGACTTTAATGTTTCACTTTATTCTTTTTAATAAATGGTCTGCCATAAATTCTGCAATAATTTATAAGTGCTGTAATATCTTTTTTTTTGGGGGGGGGGTAATACTTTATTCCTTTTGAAAATGGCCTGGGAGCTAAAAAAAAGAAAGAAAAAAAGGTAACGCTGGGGATTTGAGAAACTATGCTATTAAAATCTCTTTAAAATGGTATGGATTGGGAGAGTTCACTCTTCTGGGGCTTGATTTGGGCAAGTAATAGACAAGTGGAGCCATCACTTGTCTTAGAACATAAGGTCTGTTTATTATGCAATATTCAAATTTAATAAATTCAATTTAGACAGAGGCGTAATAATTAAAATCTTTGTTAATATTTAAATCTGCCAGTGTTTGTCTAATATCAAAACTTAGTCAACCATATGGTATTTGAAAATCATGTGTTTTAGCATTATTTGGCTGTAGGCCATCAAATTGAATGTGTTTGACAAAATACATTATAGGCTGGCCAACTGAAATGATATGGACTAATAATGAGTAAAACTGTCCCAAAATGCTCAACTCGCAAATGTCATAACTATCTATTTTGGTTCATGTCTTGTATTAATACATACATGTATATTACCACATTGCCTGCTGAAAGACTCCACGCATAGCCACAATAAATTGCTAATAACTGCATCAGTAGGCAATGTGTTTAAAACTTTCAAGTAGCTTTGC